CTGCCAAACGAACCAACTTTGGAGTATCCCACAACAAATTTTCCCTTACCAGATTAGCCTACATGTTAATTAAATAAGAAAAATGGAGCACCAGAGCATATTGATTACATTGGGAAAATGTACATGTTAAAAGTATTTTAAATCTTCTCCTTATGGGTAACAAGGAAATATCAACATACCGCGCGCGTAGGAGATTTAAAGATTTATCCTGAGCTTCATTCTTCGATGAACCTCTTTTAGCTTCGCGCTGCCTAGTTACCTCTGTTTCGATCTACAAAATAAGAGATAAGACTTTCTTCACAGAGAAATTATCCTCAGAATTCACTTATCTTAGAAGTGAAGGTCATTAAGGTACCTCAGCAAGCTTTTCCCTCAATTGCTTTGCCGCATCAAATTGCTCTATATTCAATGCATACTGGCAAGAACCAAGCAGTTCAATAGTGAGGTTCGATTTGCATAAATAAATATCAAACATTTGAATGTATCAGTTATCAGTGGAAGCAACAGTGAAACGATGTTAGATTCAACTAACTAGTAGACTGTAATCTAGACAATTGTCCGGTATTAGTAGTTGCGGCGAGGTGGTGGTAAAGAAGCAAGCGCTCACCTGTATCCGAGTCTGTACATCCAGCTGAAAGTAGAAGATCAAGATGTCTTCGTTAGCAGACTCACTGCGCTCCAGCCTCGCGGCCGCATTATTGTTACTGTTACTGTTACGAGCATCTCCTCCAAAGAACCATCTGGCATTAGTCCTTACTGTGGTGTTTATTTTTCCACGGTTGGTCCCCATGTGCAGCTTTTCCGCGCACCAGTGCCACGCGTATGCCCCATGGCTTACTGGATTTATTTTGTAACAGAACCTCAGATCATTCCTAGCAACACAGGCTGATCTGCAGTTTGTTCCGTGGGGCGAGACGACCGAACCGCACACAGATATGCCTTGCATTGTATATGCAATGCAGTAGGTCCGAAACGTGCACGGGTCGTCGATCACCACCGCTGCAATCAACACACCTACATACAGTCGTAAGCAGCTAGTCAATGGGGCATACAACTGAACCAGAGCACATAAACGATGACATGCTCTAACATCAACTGAAGCAACTTTGCCTGAAACTCATTATAGTTTTACCAAATCGCTTGAAATAATAAAATACACCTGAATTAACAAATGCATATTCCTATTTAAAAGCAGTGCTAGAGATCCTACTTTAAAAATTGCAAGGCAGATTCCTCTGATCCCTAAATGTTGGTCAATCTGTTTTGAGTTGCAGAACAGGCGCTCAAGTATCAAGGCGAGGACTGGTGCGGCGGGGCACGTAAAAACTCAAGGCGGGGCGGGGAGAGAGCAGAGCTCGGTTACCTGAGGCGGCGGCCTTGGGCTTGGGGGAGAGGAAGCGGAGCGGGCGAAGGGAACGCGTGGGCGCTCCGCAGCGTCAGGGTACGGAACGGGCTCGCGTTGGTGTTGCGCTCTGTCTCTGCTGCTGCTATGCTACGGTGGTGGCGGATGTGGGTGGATAGACGGCGCCCCTCCAACTGGCCTCGCCCTGGACCAGTCGTTCCTTCTTTTCTTTGGCCCCAGCGTTTGCTGCTTGCATTGCGATTTTTCCGTGGATTTCGAGTTATCGCAGGGGCGGTTAAATTTCTGCCGCGACCCTATGGTTACCCTTTTTTTGTTTTTGCGCATAGACCCTATGGTTACCTTGCCTTCAGTTCGATTATCAAACTATCTCTATTCCTAATGAAGCAGTTGGTAGTCTCCGCCGGTCAATTTTTGTCCCACTTATCATGGTTTTTTTGTCCCATCTTCGCTAGTCTTTTTTCGTAGATTTTTTTTGTCCCCTACCCCCACTTCATCGGTTTATTTTCGCGTCACCCTCTCACACAATGAAAAAAATTAAACGGATCAGAACTTTCCATACTGACGCGAATTATTTAATAATGTCTTTATGTAAAAGAATCAATCACAATCAATCTCTAAAGATCAAATCTAAATTAATTAATATTCATAACGTTTGTTTCCTTCCGAATCACGTTCATAATTTTCCTTCCTTATTTGGGGAGAAACTGTTTGGTAGCAGAGATTAGGAAGCTTCCTATGAGCATAGTAATAGGAAGTATTTTTTTTGATGATTCGTTTCCATGCATGATGATAGTAAATTAGGCCAACATTCACCACTATTTATCAATGTCATCAGTCGTATCCACTCCTACCATTTTTAAGGGAATCCGCTTGCTATGTCTTTTTAAGGGGATCCGTCGTCGTCGCACGCACAAGCAATTCCCTAAAAAAACACAACGCCTACCTCGACTTCCCTATCTGGACGCCACCGCCGCCGCCCATCGATCTCGCCGCCTCCCGGCGATCCCCTCCTCCCTCCCGCAGCTCGAACGACCCACTTTTTTGGCCACGAGCACCGTCTGCCTCTTCGCCCATGCGTCGCCCCTCCTCTTCACCATAGCCACGAGCACTATCCAAGGCGGAGCCACGGCGCCTCCACAGATGCGGCGGAGACACCATATCCAGTGGAGACGGCGGTGTAAATCTTCTCCCACTCTGCTCCTTCCCCTGGTTACCGGCCTGCTCCACGTCCCCTCTGCTTCGTGTGGATATGCTCATGCGCAGCACTAAACTTTATTCAGGTAGAACTATTCTTCTAGGCCTTTTTTGTTACTTACAAATTAACTTTTTGAGGCAATGCTTACGGCATGAAGTATTACCTAGAGTTCCTTAATCAATCTGCTTGTCCATCGTTTCATTTGGTTCAATTACTATCAGCAAGAACACATTGTGAAACCGTTAGCTTATGAATGTGTGCTCTTCCTACAATAATAACATTTGCAATGTAAGGGCCGAGGCACACCCACACATCAGGATGATGTGCACCACGTGGGAAGTAATACTAATATGGCCTAAGTGGATAATGAAATATCCAAAGATACACTTGACTGGATCAATTTTTTCTCTGGAATTGTTTCTCATGATGCGCAATGTAGATGCTATATTTTTAAAATTTCAAATCACCTATGCATGCCAATGTGATTCTTATCCTTTTCACTAGACAGTGTGTTCCCATCAATCCATCCATGCACCAAACCGATTTTTTTACTCTGTTCAGGTTGCAATTACGAACGAGTAGTATATGTATGCACTGAACTACTTGCATAAGACAGTGAAATACTTCTTACTCGTGTGAGTGGAATTTTGGAATAGAGAAAGAACATACAACAGAGATCACGTAATTAATTGATTACATAAACCGAGATCACGTAAAACAAGTTTGATAGGTCTGTTGCATCACACGGGCATTTTTCCTACATGTACTAACAGGTTCTATTTATTTCCTTTGATCGGTCAATACTCCTATGTCCTATGTAGGTAAAAAGGAAAGAAAACCTCACGGTACAGCCAGCAAAATAGTCAACGGCGAGCTTCATCGCCGCATACGTGTCGTAGTACCTGGCCATCACCGGCTGGGGCAACGAGGACTTAACGCTGGTGAAGAAGGCGCGGGTATTGGTAGAGCTCTAAGAAGCTGCCCTTCGTCCTGCCCGCCGTCTTCACCATCGGTCCCCGGGTGACCACCCTGGAACTCAGCGACGCTACCAACACGACACGGTCTGGGTTGGTTCGGTCCCTCATCGAGCCACCATTTGGACCGGCCAACCACCACCGGCGTCAACGTGCTGGGGCAGCGGCGAGGTGGGCTGCGTTTGCGGGTGCTGTGGCGAGGTGGTGAACATGCGGGAGCGCCAGCGATGAGGTCGGTGATGTGCCGCAGCAAGTGCGCGGCTGTTAGCCATGAACCTTCCGTAGCAGTTTTTTTCATGAGCCCATGTTTTTTTGTGTTCGGGCCTTGCCATAATTAGCGGATTAACCATGAAAAAAACATGATGTTCAGTTTGTTGTCAAATGGTGCCATGATTTTCGGATCAAGCCATGTTTCTTTTGTACTTCCTATTTCCTGTTCGACTGAATATAAGTGCAGAAAGTGAAAACACCAACATGACTGAAAGCAGTCATATTCAGTTATAGAGGTATACATTTATACAAGATATACACAGGCAGGTGCGGCCAGTAACCCAACTAACTCCTGAGCTGACCTTGCTAATCCTTTACTCGCGATAAAGATGCAGACGATAAGGAAAGGTTGTTACGAAGAGAGCAATGGGAGAGAGAGAATCACGTGGCGGCAGGTGGACCTAAACATATGCTTCAACAAAGAAAATGGCAGCGTAGGATCATGGTGCGTGATTATAGGCGGAGGCTATTAAATCTCACGTGGAAATCACGGCTGAGCGATTCTCGCACGATCCGAAATTCACACCCAATCGACTGTTTCCCCCAGTTGATGGCCTGCATGTGTGTTGTGCTAAAACGGTCGCTGCCATGGCAGCGAACCCTGCAGCTAGAACGCTGCCAGCGCCAAGTTGAGAACTCGAGATCGTTAGTGGTGCATGCACGACAGCGGCGGCGAGAGGCTATGGTGCATGGGGAGGAGAGAAAAGAAGGAGAGGGGAAGCTTGGGGACATGGTAGTTTACCCGGGGGCTGCCGGTCGGCACGCTGAGAACGAATGGCGGTGGCAATGACATTTTTTCTCAGTCCTCTTGGTTGGACCGGTTGAAGACCAGACCGGATCGGACCGACAATTTTCCAGGCCGATTTTAGCAGACCAGATTGTCCATTTTCTCTAACAAGCCAGGACCGAGCGTGTCAAACACCGATTGAGCCATGAGCGGTACGTCCAGCCCTACCCACCGTCGAAGTGAAGCTCCTACTCCACATCAAGTTGATCGTGCTGTTGCACTCGTACGGTAGGAGCCACGGGCACGACATGGTGAAGGGCTAAAGGGCTGATCGAGGGTGAGACCCGGATGCTGGTGGCGCAGCTAACCATGGACGAGATCTTCACCTGCACCCAAAAGTTCAAGCTGGAGGTGTTCAGCAACGTGTAGAATGAGCTGGACCAATTCGGCCTCTTCATCTACAATGCCACCATGAAGCAGCTGGTGGACGTGCCGGGGCATGAGTACTTCTCCTACCTTGGCGAGAAGACACAACAGGAGGCAGCAAGAAGGGCCAAGGTGGATGTTTGTGGAGCGGGATGGCCTCACGTGCCAGAACGCTGCCAAGGTGGACGCCGAGAACAAGGTGCTCTCTGTGCGGCAGCAAGGCGAGTCGCTCAAGGAGAAGGCCAAGGTCAAGGCAGAGGTGCGGGTGTTTGAGAACACTAGGAAGGCCGACAATGCCGCCTCAATGACCGACCTCGCCATGAAGGGGAAGGCTGGGACTGGCAGGCCAAGGTCGCTGAGGTTGAGGCCGCCAAGGCTGTCGCCATCCGCGAGGCCGAGCTGCAGATGGAGGTTAAGACGAAGAACATGCTCTGTTAAACTGACAATCTCAAGGTCGAGTAGCTCAGCAAGTCCACAGTACACTACGACACACAGGTTGGTTATGCAATAAGCATGTATAAAAATATAGTACTAGGGACAAGAGAAATTCATACTTATTGACCTCAACATTTTATATTTTGTAGGTTCAAGAATCGAACACGCTCTTCTACAGCTGGCAGAAGGCGGCGGATACGACATTGTATAAGGAGATGAAGGCGGCGGTGAGGTAAAGCGGCTGAGCAGAAACACATGCATGTCTCGATATGGGAGGAAAGGGAGGGAGATAAGGTGAGGGTTAGCGGTGCAACATGCCACACGAGGAAAGGGGTGAAGAGATGACCTTGAGGAGGGAAGTGAGCTCGGTCCATGGCATGGGGCAGAGTAGAGGAAGGTTGATCCATGGTTTGGCCAAAGGGGTGATGAGCGAGGAAGAAGTAGAAGACCCCTCTCATATCTTGGTGCGCGAGCAAGTCTGTCGAGGTGGAAGAAGCCTGTCATTTCATGACGGCGTTGGTGACCTTGGCGCGATGTTGTTCGCCGGTTTGTGGGCAGATCAGGCAACCGTCCGGTCCCTCGACCACCCCCCTTCACTAATTTTGGTGAGAAGAGGGGAGGGATGAAAGGGTGGAGGGGTGGGAGATGAGGTCACCGATTCTGTTGGTTGTGGGGGCAAGGGCGGAGAGAGGAGAATGAGCAACGCCGGTGAAGTCTATGGATCTAGAGAGGGGGGGGGGGACAAAGAGAGTGAGTGGTGCAGAGAGGGAGTGGATAGAGTGCGGTCGTGCAGGAGAGGACAACAAGTCGGATAGGAGGTGTATAATGGGAATATCATAAAAATAAAGCTTTATTTATACCTATACACTATATATATTTAGAATAGCATAAAATATTTTCTCAATGAATTACTTAAAAATATCCAAGAAATTATGGGTGACCGACTATCATTATATAGAGGGGAAATCCGTTCTTTGCTCATGGAGAAATGTAACATAGTTTTTTATGGGCAATATACCACATACCCTAAATAGTAGATATTCGTGAGAATAATCATCAACATGTGATTTAGAGGTGAGCCTAAAATTGTTAAAATTGGGATGCCACTCAATCTACTAGAAACTGCTCATTTCTAGCATTTGTCCAATGAATATATATTTTCCATGCCACCATCATAAAAAAATTATTCTAATCTTTGTTTATATTAGAATACCTTTGTAGGTCATAAAAACTGATGGATTTGATTGTGCTTCGGAGATGTCGACTGACAAAGACCCTGATGTAACGATGATGGGGGGGGCTAAGAATTCAATGAGTTTTACACAACCAAAAGAGGTGCATGCAAATAATTGTTCTTCTTTGTATGTATGTTGCACATGATATAATACTCAAAAGGTATATTTCTGTATATATTTAATTTTGTAGAATATGAGAGAGATGGAGATGGATTATGTCGGGGTTCAAAAAGAAACCCATTCAGAGGGTTTTTGGGGCGACCCCATCGGAAGGGGATAAAAATTCACCATATTTTATACAACAAAAAGATGTGCAAGTGATGATATCCCACAACAACGACACACTCAAAATAAAGCAAACCGGCTGGAATTACGATAAATGTTTATGGCAACATTTATTTCCAACTGGTATTCCGATGAGTAAGTTCAATGATGTTTACATAACTCAAGGAAAATATTTTAAAAGCCCGTAGCAATGCACGGGCATTCTACTAGTCAAAAATAGGTTACTTGATTTGCAAATGATTTTTCTCAACTCTTAACCATTATTTCAGCTCGGCAAATACTTATTTATAAACATATATGTTACGACCCCGTGAGAGATCGAACAGGAAAGGGGAGGAGATCAAGGAAAAGGGGATAAGATCCAGAGGTAGGAGAAGGGGTAGGTGAGAAGAGAGTTTGGGATGAGAAGGGATTTGAATTATCTCAAATGACAACATGCCTACACTGCCATCACAGCTACACCTTTCACGCCACAGCCTGGCTCAGGCCCACACGTCATACTCACACGGCTACACCTTTAACGACACATCTTATACTAGTGGTGATCAAACCGGCCTGAAGCATTTTTGCAACCTAGCACTCTATCTCATCCTTCTGAAGTGGCGAATAGCGGTACGGTCGGACATTAGGTGGAGTAGCTCTGGGTTCCAAATGAATTGCATGATCAAAAGTGCGGTGAGGAGGCAGTGTTGTTGGCTCCTGAAACACATCACCAAACTCATCGAGTAGCGCTTGCACTTATGATGGCACGGGCTCCTTGGTTTCTGACGCCGATTCAGTTGTGTGAATCACTACTAGAGCCCTAACCTCATGGCCCTGTATCCATTTGGACAGTTGCTCTACTCTGATTTCTGTCAGTGTCGGCTCTGTCGGTGCGTGCACTCCTTATAGCTTGACGCTAGTACTGCCATGGCGAAACTCCAATGTTTTCAAGCCCCAATGACAATTCATAGGACTGAATTGCGCCAACCAGTCGACCCCTAGCACTGCATCATAAGCGCCAAGATCCAGCAAACGCATGTCTGTAGCAAATGTGTCCCTAGCACCACCATTGCAGTTGAGCTACTTGTTGATTGGATTACAGTGTATCGCCATTAGCTAGTCGGACTGTCACTGGTTCTGCATCTTACACCTGACAGCAAGCCCTACGTGCAAATTCCGAGTTCACAAAAGTGTGAGTGCTGCCCGAGTCCACCGACAAAAGCATCACCTGATTGCCCACTAAAGCTCATAGTCGTATGTTTTCTGCTGACTCCGTGCCGGCCACCGCGTGAACCGAGATATGATAGCACGTGGCAGCATCCTCTAGCTTGCAATACAAATTTTTTCTAAGTCGTCAGAGTCGCCGACGGCGCCATTGCAACCGCCCTAAATCGAGCCTACTCCGCTAGGGACTTCGCGTCTGGTCACCGGAGCAACTGGACACCTGTCGTGGTATTTCCTTGACATATGCCAATGGGTGGCTAATCATGTAGGGGGTCAATAGAATGTTGCTGGGCTCTAGAAGCGGGAGTAGGCAAGACCTCAAACGGCACCGGGTCTTACCCAGGTTCGAGGCTCTCTGTGGAGATAACACCCCTAATCCTGCTCTGCGGGGTCTCCGCATCACTATGATCAACAACGGGCTACAAGGTGGCTCCTTGAGCTGTTCGGGCTAGAGGAGGAAGAAAGGCACGCTAGCTCTACTTCTCCCTAGCTATGTGGGTGTAAGGTGATCTAAGGGTTGAACCCTTTGCATGGGTGACCCTGGGGGTACAATGGTAATCCGGCTGGTCGTAGGACCCGGCCGTCGGTGTCTCTGGGCTCCGGCTTCTCCGCCGACAGCTGGGGCCTGCCACCTGGTGGGCCCTACCGACTGTTGTGATCTTGGCAGACAAGTAGGGCCCGCCGCCTGCGGCCCAGGAGGACTAGGCCGCACTGTAGCCTTGCCCCTGATGATGATAGCTTGGTCGGGGGGTGCATGGCTACAGTACCGCCGCCTGGCGGGCGATCACTGTAGCTGCACCCCATCACTTCTGGTTAATGGTGCACAGACTCTGAGGAAAGGGACGACCGCCTGCTATGAGGCGGCCTCCCCTTGTGGCCGCCTGCTTTGGGCTCGTTGTCTTCTGGTGATACACGGCAAGTGGGGCCCACCGCCTGCGGGCCACACTGACCATCCTCGTGGGGGCATGGCCCAGCCTGACGTAGGCACCATCATGGGTCGCGTGGCTACAGTGTCGTGTCAGGTGAGGTGTGTCCGCCTGGTACGCCTGCACTGTGGCCACATTCCTTCCGGGATTCGGGGGTGGCAGGTGGCACTGTTGCCACGCTTTATCTTGTCGTAGCAGGTGGGTGCAAACTTTGAGGAGGCGAGGGGTCGCCTGGTAGGAGTTGGCCCATGCCCTCGTCGCCTTCTGGGAGGCAGCCCGTGGGTGCCAGCCGGCCGTGATGGCCGGCCTTGCGACTAGTCGGACTGAGGGGCTTGACCAGCCCTGATGTCTTGAAATCTACTAGGGTGTGGATGAGGCTACCCAGGGTTTATCCCCCCGCCAGTAGTCCCCGAAGCTGGTGAGGTTCTATGGCCTTGGGCAGCCGGAGGGCCTCAGCAGTTTCCCTCTTAAGTGGTCTTCCGCCTTCTGCTCCATCCGGCTAGGAGGAGTCAGACGCCAGGAGCCGGACACAGCCGCGGCCGCCTGGTGGAATTTGAATAGTCACGGTGGGGGCCAGGTGGCGTGCCAGCCGGGCAACAGGCTCGCCGCCTGTTGCCCGCCCACCACAGGGCGCCAGCCGGCCAGGTCGGCCTGCCAGCCCACGTGCGCGATGGGACGTCGCCGCAGGCCCGGGCCCACCACCGCAGAGCCTCGGCACGCGCGCGGATCCGCTGCGGCCGAGGAAAACGGTTGCGCTTCCCAAGCGCGGTTAATACACGCCTTAAAGGCGCAGAGAATGCGGGGTCGTGGAGGGAGTGGGTGCAGTTAATCCTGCGCCCCCCCCACGTCTCGCCCCCTCGACTCCGCCGCCAGGGGGCTATAAGTAGGGGGAGGAGTGGGCGGCAGAACGCACACGCGCACTCCTCTCCCTTCGTCTCGCTTCTCGCCTTCTTGCTGTCGCAGCTCGCCGTCACCGCGCTTCTTCACACCGCCGCCGCTGCCAAGCTCGGAGCCCATGGTGCAGAGCGGCCGCGCCGATGGCTGGGATGGCTCCATCGTCCATGAAGATCATCTGGAGTTCCTTCGCCAGACGTAGCGACTCCCTCACCATTCCAAGATCAAGGCGGGCCTCCCACCCCCCACAAGGGAAATCTCGCCAGCGCCGGAGGGCGACGAGCGCGTCGTCTTTCGGTCGCACTTCCTCCACGACTTCGGCCTGCCGCCGAGCGGCTTCCTCCGCTCATTTATGGATTTCTACGGAGTGCAGCCCCACCACCTCATGCCGAATACAGTGGTGCTGCTCTCCACCTTCGTCACCCTGTGCGAGGGCTACCTCGGCACTCTTCCCACACTCGAGCTGTGGGGAGAGCTCTTCTACCTCAAGCCCGACACCGCCGCCAAGAACGAGGTAGCGCAGTGCGGAGCCTGCGTCGCAGTGCGGTGCTCCGGGACTGGGACCTGCTTCCCAGCTATCACCCTGCTGCAGTTGGCCAAACTATGGCAGAGGTCCTACTTCTACGTCGAGAACCGCCACTTGACGCGGAACTACATCAACTTGCCGGCTTATGCAGCCGGCCCGCCTGC